GGGAGCAGGGGGGTGATATTGTATCCGGCTCGGGTGGGATTCACTGTCCCCTCGACTGGAATGACCTAAACCCATACATCTGTGAGAGTGTGAGTGTGACACTGGAATGATCGAGTGGCCAAAGCCGAGGTCACTTACCTCAGACAAGCTGCCGTCTTCTACCACAGTGTCAAACTCATTGTACACCAGGTCAGCCAGGAGATCCTCCACCTCCTCACTCTCCAGGTTAACTGCAGTGCACAAGAGAAAGAGAACCAAAGGTTAATCCCCAGCTTTAGGCTCACAAGTGGCCGAGAATATTCCAAATCACCCACTACCACCTTCTCAATAGTAAATGTTGACACAGCTAATGATACCCATATCGCACGAATGATTGTTTTAAAAATGTTCGCTGCATGTGAAAGAGAGAATCTAACCATTGCCCCCTTGACGTTCAATGGCGTTACCATCACTGAATCATTCCCCCCGCTCCCCCCAACTGTCAACATCCTGGGGATACCATTAACCAGAAACCCAGCCATACCAATCCTGTGGCTACAGTGGCAGGTCAGAGGCTGGGAATCCTGCAGCGAGTAATTCCTCTCCCGAATCTCCCCCCCCACAGCCTGTCCCACCATCGACAAGGCACAAGTCAGGAGTGTGAGGGAATACTCCCCACTTGCCCTGGATGGGGGCAGCTCTGACAACGCTCAAGAAGTTCAACACCATTCAGGACAAAGCAGCCCCACTCTCCCAATCGATTGATACGCTAACCCCCACCTTCAACACTCACTCCCTCCACCACCGACGCACAGATGGCCTCATTAAGAATGCTTGGCTGAGCTCCAAAACTCTGTGCATCTAGCACCAACACACAGTGAAGAAGTGTGTACCACACACAAGATGCACTGGGCTGGTTCTGATGGGCAGCAATATTGCAGATTGGACAAAGTGCACTTAAATTCCACCAGTCCCCCTGATGGGATTGGAAACCACGTTCCTAGAGCATTTAGAGATAGTGAGAACTGCCGATGCTGGAGTTAGAGATAACACAGTCCAAAGAAGGGTCCCGACCCTAAATGTAAATTTTCCTGCTCCTCGGATGCTGCCTGGCCTGCTGTGTTCCTCCAGCTCCACGCTGTATTATTCCTAGAGCACTGGCCTGTTTCTCTGTGTTACTGATATTAATAGTGTGTCACTACCTCCCTGACATATTGATAAGACATCTATGAGGGGGCAAGACGGGGGGAATGAAATGGGAGGTGGTTCAGGACCCTTGGACTCACCGTTGTCATGGAAATACTCAGCCACAGCCGTGACCATCCATGCTGCCTTCTGCTGGCTGTAAGCTCCACCGAATCCATTCTCCACCGCCACCTGAAGTACAACCACAAAGCTACAAGTCAGGCCGTTGGCTGCTCGCCTCCCTTTCTGTTTGGGTTGTCAGGATGAGGTCAACATTGACAGTGCCCGCTCCCTCAGCGCTGACCCTCCAACAGCGCCCGCTCCCTTGGCACCAACTGTCTGACGGCGCCCGCTCCCTCGGCACCAACCCTCCGACGGCGCCCACTCCCTCTGAGCCAACCCTCCAACAGCGCCCACTCCCTCAGCCCTGATGCTCCGACAGCATCCACTCCCTCGGCGCTAAGCCTCCAACGGCGCCCGCTCCCTCGGCACTGACCCTCTGGCAGCGCCCACTCCTTCAGCGCTGACCCTCCGACACTGCAGCTCTCCCCCAGCACTTACGGAAATATTTTCATGTTCTGAACAAAGAGGCAGAAAGCCTTTGAGACCTTGAAGAGCGTTCAGCTGATCGTTTGAGGCCCGAAAGGGGCCAAGACAATGGAGCAAACACTGGGAAATTCGCCTGGAATGGACAGTTGCTGGGTGGCTAGCAGGGGACCCGATGGGCTGAAGGGGCGGCGTCCAGCAGAGCGACTTCCGGTTGAGTCATGTGCGTCACTTCCGCCGCCGGCAGGAACGGGGCCGCCATCTTGTTTGGCCGCATCGGGGACTGGAGTAAGAACCGAACAGCCCCGACACTGCGCTTTCTCTCTCTCTCTCCCTCTCCTCCGGTACCGTGCGCGACACACACACCCCGCCCCCGTGGCTTTCTAACATCACCTGCAAGGCGGGCCAGGCCTCCAGAGCGCTCCGGACACCTTCGGTGAAAAGCGTGCGGTCCCCCGTCCCATCCAGCGCCGCCATGACACCGAGGGCCGGACCGAAACCTTCCGAGCATGCGCGGTTACGGCACCTGCGTGGTCCTCCAGCTCCCCCTAGTGTCCTGGAGGAGGAACAAGCAGCGCAGCATCCTCCCAATGGACTGGACCGCCAAAAGGCGACTCGGGATGCTTACAATGGGCGGCCATTCAGCCCGTCATCTCTGCTCCAGCTTCCCTCAATGGGCAATTAGTAACGTGATCTTAGACTCACAGCGTCCTTTCCTGGCCTCCACATCCCTGGGCACTACGGGACAATTTAGCACGGCCAATCCACCCTAACCC